TATATATATATATATATATATATATATATATATATATATATATATATATATATATATATATATATATATATATATATATATATATATATATATATATATATATATATATATATATATATATATATATATATATATATATATATATATATATATATATATATATATATATATATATATATATATATATATATATATATATATATATATATATATATATATATATATATATATATATATATATATATATATATATATATATATATATATATATATATATATATATATATATATATATATATATATATATATATATATATATATATATATATATATATATATATATATATATATATATATATATATATATATATATATATATATATATATTTGACACTAGCATATCAATAGCATCACTAGTTAACTTGTTACCAGTAAAACCAAAATGGCAATTAGATATTATATGATTTTTAGTAAAAAAGTAAACTAGCCGAACTTTAAGGCTTTTTCGAAAATTTTTGTTACATTAGATATGACTTATTGACCTGTAATTCTCAAGAATATTTTTTTCTCCTTTTTTATAAATGGGTTTTATTAAAGCAATTTTGAAATCAAAGGGGCAGTTACCAGTTTTAAACATTAGATTAATAATTTGGCAGACTGGCTTTATGATATGGATATTAATTTTTTTCAATAGGGAAGATGTAATTTTGTCAAACTCCGGCGCCGAATCAGATTTTAAGGATAAAATTATATTTTTTATTTCATCTTCTACCACAGGGTTAAGAAAACTAGAACGTTTATTAGTAGTAACCTAATTTTCATCTGTGATTAATTGCTGATTGTGTTTGAATAATTTTTGCGCCGCCTTTTAGGCAGCTTATTGTAGTTTAAAACTTCATGGTACAAATTTTATTTTTACATTTGCTGGTGTATTCGCTAAGTGTTTCCCATATTTTTTTGCTATTGTTTTTGTTTTCTTCAATTATTTTAAATCATTAGTTAACTGTATTTCTGTATATTTTATAATCATTGAATAACTGTTCTCTATTTGTTCTTTTTTATAATTTATAAAGTTTATCCCTCTCGTTCATAGATTTGATTAAACCTTGCGTAACCCATGGCTTTGTTTTATGTTTATTGTGTATAGTTACAGTTTTGGTAGACTTATTTATGTGTTTATTTAAAGTAGAAAGGAAATTATTTGTTGCTATTTCTGAATCGTTGCAGTTGTAAACAGTGTCAATATTTTCAGCAGTCAAAAGTTCTTCCAGTTTTGTATAATTAATGAAGTTTTTAAGTTTGAAATATATTTAATAGTTCCTACATTATACTCTAACAAAATAGGATAATGATCAGTTATTTATAAATTAAATAGTTGCTTTTGAGAAATACAGAACTTCGATTTTTTGTCAATTCTGGTGTATTTATTAATAAGCGAGTTAAATCCATTTTTATACAGCATATTCAGATAGGTATGGGAATCCATTGACTCATATAATATATCAATATTGATATCTCCTATTATGATGTCGGTATCATTTGATTGGCAGTTATGTAAGTAGCCCTCAAGTTTGCGTATAAAATAATGTATTTCCACAATGTGAGGTCTATAAATTGCTGTAATAGTGGTTTTTTTATTTTCATGAAAAATTTCAACAATACCATAGTGAAAATTGAAACTGGACTTAATGTAAATTGCGGAACCATTGTTTTTGTTGATGTTGCTGAGACTAAAAATATTGGTATAACCTTTAAGCTCAAATTGGTTCAAATTGGGCATTTGATACGTTTCTGACAGAGCAACGGCATGAATTGTGTTATTAAATCGATCTAGCATCACTTCAAGCTGCTTGAAATTTTTATTTAGGCTTTAGGAAATTCGTAGCGTATTCATTATAGTGTGAAATTTGTATATAAAACTTCATTATTTTCTGAGCTTACGGCAGTTAAAAATGGTACCATAAAGATTCTACTACTCCTTTAAGTTGAAATATAAATTTGAGTTGTTTTCCTACGATAACCATTTATTGACTTATTATTTATTAATTTAGTCATTTAGTTATTAAATATCGGATCATGGTCTTAAAAGTATTGCAACAAATGAAATATTACTCAAACATATACCGGGCTAATAAAAACTACCGGAACACTTAATATAAATTAACCAAAACTAACCAAAACTGCAATGCTAACAGATTCGTCACTGTTACAGGATGTTGGAGGTTTTTGAACATAAGAATTATAAATATTGTCGCAAAATTTGATAACATAAGCATTTTAGAATTTTGCATTGTTCAAACACCTCCAGGTATTGAATTTTATCGTTCCAATTTTGTCACTTTTGGAGTTTGCGGTGTGACCGTAGCCCAGCAATTAATGGAAATAAAATTTTGAAATTATGAGACTTTTTGATTTTAAATGACAAAATTATGACGTGTAACGTAAAAGATATTTAAGCGTTCCTGTACTTTTTATTAACCCGGTTAAATAATATAAAATTTGCAAATGTGTAATTAAAAAAAAAGCACGATTTTGGTATAGTTTTTACCAAAATCAATAAATTAATTCAGTTTAATTATTTATTCACATCAGACAGCGCTCTAAGTTGGTGGATTATTCAGTTCTTTTGTCAGTAACACTTACTACTAACTATTTTGGATCATAGTTTATAAAATAAACGTCCCTAACATTATTGATAAATCCACCCCTTAAAATGGGCAATTGAAATGTTTCTAATAAAAACTAACGATTACCTAAATATTCTGGTTTCATTTAAGGAATTTTGTTTTTAAAAAAAAACTGTTTTTTACTTTAATTTATTTAATATATCCAGATTTTTATTAATGACGTATCTTGTTCTATATATATATATACGAGGGCCAGAAGTAGGTACACAAAAGAGGTATAAAAATATTAAATTTTCTAATACGTAACGTACAGCTCCCCTCGTTTCGAGATTGGTTTTGAGATCCCCGCTAAAACCGTCTTCTTTTAATGTAAATTTCTTTTCATGGAGCGTAATAAATAAAATTATTATCGGGAATTAAATTTACAGATCGAAATTGCCTTTCGCCATGGTTCTGGCTTAATCAGTTCCTTCCGAACTTTCTTATTTGATTACGGGGAAAATAAAAGTCTTCCTCCCTTTTTAATCAAAGAAGTAGTTCAACCCAATAAACATTAAATTAAAGACGAATTGAACGTTCGAGGTTTATCAATTTCACGACCGGGTCGCGGAAAGGGGATGCTTCTTTTTTTAGATTCGTTTGTTTGTGGTTTCGTTAAAATTATACCTAATTCGCAAAACCAAATCGCCATTGTCAGTTCTCACGTTTCTTCGTTTCTATCGAGACAAATATTTGTTTATATTTGGCGCGCTATATCGTCCGGTACCCAGATAATATTTATCGCGAATATTATATGGCCTGGGCGATAAACAATTTTCAATGCACGGTTAAAAGTGCTGAGCCGCCATTTTCAACGAACTATCTGAATCACTAATAAGAATCATTAATATTATTTCCTTGTAAAAATCATCGGAATTTAGGGATAACCATTTTATTTATCCGGCATTCTCGAAGAATGTGATGCAATGCAACCCAACTAAAATTTTGGCAAGAAAAAGTGAAATTGATTATTTATTTAAATATTTTTAAAATCAAGACAAATAAAATGTTTTAAGGAATTAACTCTTATATTGACAGGTTATTTTGAAATACCTTGTATATACATAAAAACGCGCTAGACAAAAATAAAGAAATTTGAACTTCATACCTATTAATTTATTGGTATGCAATTTATTTCTATCGTGAATTATACAATTATACAAAATGTCAAAATCCTATCGAAGCAAATATACCTGTTTTCAAACATTTTATTTCCCTATTAAGCCCCAAAGTTTTTTTTCTTTCTTTTCTTCTTTCCTTGCTTTAGATATTTTGTTGATGGTTTCTTAGAGATCTACACGTTCACGTTGTGTAATGCTGGTTTTTGATATTAAATATTTTTATTTAATTCTTGTGATTAAATAATAATTTTTATTCTTTTTTAATTTTTTTCGCTGGAAACCCGAGAGACACAAAGTCAAGAGATCATTTTTACTTAGAACTGAATGTCGATTTAAAAAATGTAATTTGTTTTTGAAAAAAACAGTTGTATGAACTTTTTTCTTTTTACTTTCACTGGTGAAAGTATAAAAATAATTTTCACCCGGGTTTCTATGCATTGTGGGCCCTACCTAATTAAAACAAATATCTAAAGCAGTTGCAATTTCAAAATCAACTTTTTTCTCAAAATCATCCAAGGAATCACACTCTTAAGGATCTCATTATGAAACACTCTGCATTTGTGTTGTGGTAGAATTTCACCACCGTTGTTGAATGTTTTTTTGTACCTAACATGTCCTTCAACTACATGCAAGTTTTTTATCATATATCTTAGAAACGTGTAAAATGTTTACTTTATTATATACTATATTATTATTATAAAAGTTTCATTGTGGTATAGTACTATTTTTGTTATCGATGTATTAATGTGTTAAGGTCGCTAAAAAAGGAAAGCAAAAACTAGACACTATTTTTGTAAAAATACAATTTTATCTGACTTTAATATTTGTTAACAATTCAAAATAATGTCCCTTATAAGTCTCAAACTCCCTTTAAGTAACAGATGATGACAGTTCCTTACCTTTTATAAAATGTCCACCATTATTCTTCGAGACTTTTCAATCCAGATAACAAAAACTAGTCAAATTTTTCAAAAACTATTCGTCTAGTTCTATTTTTAAGAGGCATTCTAAAATCCAATCTAATAAACGATCATTGGGGTGTTTACTTTAAAAATGAGCTGACTTAGTTGGAATATACTGTCATTTCTATTCGTTGAATGCAATTAGTAAGAGATGTATAGATTTTTTAACTGATCCGCGTACGGTTAAGTATAGCAAAGTTCACATACAGCGAAAACTTGAGCACTGCTGGTCTATTCGCGGCGATACTTGGAGCAAGCACACATTAGTCTTAATCCTGTTTCGCGTTGTTCACCACCTACAGTTGTGAGTGACACTTAGAAACTTGGGCCCAGTCGAAATTAAGTGGTAAGTCATTTGAAACGTCCACAGCATCGATTATATTATTTTACTGTTTAGAACTGCAGCAACCCAAACGTCTGAAGATGAACAGGACCGAAATTGAAGAAATGTACAAACTTTGCGACATGGATCTACACATTGCGGAATCCTACGATGGTGAGTAATATATTTTTTTTATAATGGTTATTTGTCTTTTACTAAATGCTTGCTTTGTCGAATTAGTAGAATATTTTTTTGCACTGAATGTGAATGGGGAATGAGTTGAAAATTAAATTTATTTAAATTGATTTAAAAAAACAGAACACATGATGATTTTGTTTCGAATGCGACGAAACAGTCGACTAAATTTCGCAGACGGAAAATTTAAGATTTCGACTTCAATTTTTATATATTTTAAATGCGAAAAAAATTTCGAAAATCCACTGCATGTATTGGGCTATAAGCTCAGTAGCAACTAAAAATTAACATTTCACTGGATCATCGCGAATTGCACATGGGGAAATTTTTATTTTTATTTATTTTTTTAATTAATAATTTATTTTGGGATAACCAGTACTATTTGTCAATTCTTTAAAATAATCTTTAACATAAAATCTGGTTGGTATACGAATATTTTTTTGGTATTTTATATGCATCGCTCAAGTCTGTGTATTAGAACTAGAAAAAAGTGTCCTGATTTTTGATATCTATACCAGTTTTTAAGAACAATAATTTTTTTCAGATTAAACATTGTGGCTGATAATTTTATTTAATTTCAATTCTTAATTAATTATTAATTATTAAAAAGTTGTACGCTTTGAATACCTGCTATAGCCTGAGTCAATCGAGAAATAAACAAAAAGTTATGTAAAAAAAATCTCCGCGCCCATGGATCATATCAAGCTCTTTTTTGTAAAAATTTATCAAAAAATATCAGCTATTACCTCCAGTTATCTGGGTTTCGATCGTATCATTTTCGGATTAGTTATTCTATTTATTTAATATAATGAAAAATGGTTTAATAAACAATTTAAAATTTTCATTTTTTGATATTATTAGAATACATCTTGACTACGATTTGGGCACACGCACATCGTCGTAAGACTTTCGGATCATTTCAAATAAACAATTTAAAAAAAACAAAAAAATTATTAACGAATTAATTGTGAGAAAAATAATGAATATTTTTCCTTGAAATAATCAGGGCTTCTTTTATAAACGAAGAGGCTTTCGTTGCTGAGGTAAAAATCTTGTTCAGTATGTGCTGCTATTTTTGCTATAACTTTTTCGTTCACAATTAAATTAGAACCGATATGAAATATAAAGTATATGATAAAGGCACGGTGTTGCCGAAACAGCTGTCATAAACCAAACTGTGAAAATCTGAACATTTTTCGGTCTAATTTAATTGTGCACAAAAAAGTTATAGCAAAAAAAAACACTAGCAGAATATCCTGAATAAGAAAAAAGACCAATATTTTCACAGTTATTTCTTGGTGTATGGCAGCTGTGCCTTTATCAAATATCAGTATTTGCCTGTCATCAACCAAGAAATAACTGTGAAAGTCTGAACATTTTTTGTAAGTAAGTGTAAGTAAAAGCGACCTCAGTTCAACTTTTTTGTTTATTAACCGATTCGCCCGAATCGAAGCTTATTTTGTGAATCTGAACCAGTACCTCAAATACTAATTTGATTGAATTATGGGGAACCCGTAATAACCTCCTGTATGTAACTTCTGCAAAACGAATTAAATTCTTTTGTGATTGCAGCGTCATGTCCAATTTTGGTAAATTTAAAAATTTGTACTATATTTTTTTAAATATCGCGCGCACCCTGTACAATACAAAAAATATAGCTCTTGACTGGGCCTACACTAATGTTTATATCCAATTGCCTGCTTTTTAAGAGTTTTCATTAAGGACTAGTAATTTACCCCACAAAAAATGCAGGGACTAGTTTTTTTGCCCATAACCGCCATTAACGCCGGTAATTCATTTTTTTTTCGCGATTTTGGACTATTTTTTGGACCTTGCTATGAAACACGATAAGTGTCCGAAATTTTAAGCAATCGACTTGATATTTGGCACATATATGCAGCTTTGCCCCGTGACGGAACCTATTGAGAATGGGGGGCTGGGGGGTCGGGAAGTATTCTAAAAAAATTAAAAATCGCGTGTGCAAGGGTCTACAAAAAGCTTTTTTTTTTAATGTTTGAATTTTTTTTTGGTAATTTTAGCTTCCAGAAAAATATGTTTTCCTCCATAATTGTTCATCCGATTGCCAAAATTATTTAACCCGCAGACGCAGAAGATCCAGTGCAATAACATTTATTTCGGCCATTTTTTCGATTATATACAGGGTTTTCAAATTATAGGCAAAAATCTAAAAGACCTAGAAAATTGTTCTTTTACAGAGTAAATTATTAGTCGCAAATCAAAAATCCTCAAAAATATGGCTAATTGGTTCAAGCATTGTCATAGGCCGCATCAAAAGTTACAATTTTTGTATTTGCAGTTTTCGTCTATCATATACGCTGCTCGGGATATTTGAAAAAATCCATATTGAAATCGTTATTTCGGGGGCTGTCAAAACGCGATGACGTCATTGATTATTACGGCGCACTGCATAGTTTCAGAAAAAACTTATTTTCTCGAAAACCATTTACTATTTTCAAAAAATTCTTGAACCAGGAAACATGGAAAATCCAGGGCTCTACTTCGAATAATGATTGTATCATATACAGGGTGTGTCGTTTATGGGCAAAAAATCTAATTTATCCTAAAAATTTCCGTTTTTGTGGGTAAATTATTGGCGATAAATGAAAAACCGTTAAAGATGGGATAATTTTATTTGAACAGTATCATGAAGCGTGTGTGTCGTGAGAGAGTTTCAGGTTTCGTCTATTATACGGGGCGCGAGATATTTGAAAAAATATCCTTCGACAACGCTATTATTTGTGCAAATTTTAATAATTGCCGATGTTTGCTGTAACTTTGGAGTTCGACGAGATGTGAAGGACATTTTATACATTTTATTTTTATACATCGATTTTGCGAAAGTTCCATTGTGGTCCGCAGGGGCACGATAGAAAAACAAGGCGTCCCTTTACCGCACGAACTCGCGAAGTTCTTTCCTTTTAAAATCAAAAGCTGCTTCGCGCTACGCGCTACGAACTTGGCCCGCCCAGTGAGGATTTTCCGAAAGCAATCTTGTTTCATATCGATTCATTTTATATTTATATCTAAAATTTTTTTGGACGTGTTTAATATTATGGATAAATTTTTCCTCCTGAAGAGATTTGGGATCAACAGAGTTTAAATGTATATGTAATATTTTTAATTTTTATTAATCTTTAGTAATGTAGAAATAAAAAAAAGTAATTCTCGATATACAACCACGTATAATAAAAAATAAAACGCACCATCATTTAACCTCCGAAAACGTTTCATAATTTTTGGTGCAGTTTAGTAATACGATTGCAACAGTTCTTCCTAACAAACGTTTTCTTATTCTAGGTGACCAAATCGCACCATCGACTTCCAGTAAGAAAGTTTTAAACATTGAGCAACATTCGGCTATAGTTGAAAGAGTCATCGATAGCGAGGACGAGTTCGCTTCGCTTGAATCCGAAAAGCTTTCATATGAAAAAGTGTCCATTGAATCAGAATATGTGTCAGACAATTCGACACATTTTGAGCTTTGTCCCGTATCGGAAGTTCACAAGGTTAACCCTCCCGTAGTAGAGGTGACCGTCATAGAATGCGTTTCCGATAATCAACAGCCTGAAGACGTGGTTGTGGAAGAGAAGAAAGACGAAGAGTTCGTCACAGTTTCGTCCAAAGAATACGATGAATCGATTTACGAATTTCCCGAAGAGGGTAAAAATGTCAATGTCAAATACGCCCTTGTTTTGCCTGACCACGTCTACGACGTTCCCAGAAAAAGATGCGGACAAACTCCTGTTCCTGTGCATGGACAAACTGGCGGGTCAATGGAAATGACCGAATACAACGCGAGATTAAAGAGATTGGAGAGGACTGATGCAGATGTGGAAGAACAGTCGAGAATCAGATACTGGAATTTCCTTTGGGGTTTGCTGTGCGTTATTATTATTCTGGCGCTTATTGCCTACGTCTACGTAATGATCCATATAATAGTCAAAGCTGGTCGTCGCTACGACGAGCTTTTCAAACCGCAGCCTAATTTTTAAAGCCATCGGGATAGTTCGCCGAGCTTAACACTAACACATGCTTTCGCGTCACGTTTTTGAATTAATTTTTGACTTTTATTCATATTTACTTACACCAATGTAAATGTTTTTGTCATTAACCTTATAAGTTTTGTTCAATAATTTCATAAATTTTTGGTCGCTTCTGTGTTATAAAATAATTTCATTAAAAAATCTCAAAAAAACATCTGACTATTCACCAAAACTCCAGTAATTTATTCAAAGTTAGTTCCAAAAGTTTAGGTACAATATTTATCTAAAATTCCATCGATTTTTTTGTAATCCAGAATTTTCCGGTAATTCTAAAATTCAGTTGCTTTGTATTGCTTATTTGATGTAATCTTTAGTTAAGGCTATTTTTAAAATTCGTATATTGTATCCCCTATTTTATAAGTTTAATTGCATAAATTTTGTTTGAAAGAATACTGTCAAAATTCGAATAGTTCGCTACGATTATTTATCTAATGTAATTTTAAGGCCTTTATTGAAAATATTACAATAATGCCAGTACTTTCTAGATAAAAAAAACTTCGCCAAAAATTGTGCCAAAAAGCCCGAACATTTATTCTTAGATGTATATTCACTATTTTTGTAATGTGTTTTCGTAAATAAAATGTTTAACCCAATTCGGAAGTTTTTTTTCCGCACCCTTTTGGCTGAGCAAATATCGCGATTCAATTTTGGGGATATTTATAGGGAAAACAAATCTTGAATAAGATATGTTTATACAGTGTCAAAGTGGATCTTTTGTCATCTATTCAATTATACGAGAGTATTTTTTATCTTTTAATTTTCATTTGTGGAATTGTTGAGGCGTAGGCGCTTAAAACAAAATTTGATTGTATTACACCAGATATAAATTACCTGTTAAAAAAACATCAATTAATTACTTTTGTGAAAAATACAAAACAATTTTAATTTTTTGACAAAATCTGATCTTTATAGACTTTTTATATATTATATAATTATTTATGTAATTAAAAGTAAAGGGGGTCTTTACGTATAAATTCCTGGATGTGATTATGAATAAAAATTTAATAAAAAATTAAATAAAATAAAAAAACTTTTAAACCTGACCGTTTTTAATAACCAATGTTAGATGTTTTATATAATAAATGAATTTTATAGATTTTCTACAGTCAATTACTGTCGTTTTTATTAAGGTGATTTAATAAATATTATTATTTCGTATAACAATTTGTTCAATGGAATTGTAAAGCTATTTTCGCAATTTGTAAGGGGATATTTGTGTGAGTAATTTTTTTTCTCCATGTTCTAGCATACCAAATTCGGCAATTATTAGGCGTGCTCAAATTGTCAGTTTCAAAGCCACCGTTTTGGGAGCAATGGGATGTTTTCGGTAGATTTTTGGTCATATTTCTGTGAGCCTTGACCAATCTCGTTAGCTGACTTTATACGAACGGTTTAAACAGCAGCTTTTAGTTTTAAAAATACCATTAAGTTTTAAAAAAAGTTTAAAAAAAACTTACTTATATTTCAAATATTCATTCAGTTAATACCCCCATAAGAATTTGGCTGCTGTCCCTAAACACAATTCAATCACCTCATTGGCAAATTTTAAACAAAAATATAGACAAATTTTTCATAACAGAGGCGGCACCTAAAATGTAGAATTTTTTTTATGTTTCTGTTACATGTTAAATATTTCTATCTATTTTTTGAAATTAGCTAGCATTTCGCTCAATATTATTATTTTTTTGTTCTATTAGTACATTTTCTTTTTTTTGCTTTCCTTTTTTATTTGTTTGACTTATTCGATTGTAACTAATTTTAATCAGAATTGTATATCAGGGACTGGTTTGGTTTAAGTTTAGGGGTTGCATAATAGCAACGATGTTGAATGTCCCTTCCAAGTAATAATATTCTGCTATATATTTTATCAAAACGAATTAGGACTGTTTATTATTATTATCATTATAATTAATATTATTATCCGTCTCAGATTTATGTGCTTTGCAGGTAATGGTGTGTGTAGAGAGGAGCTTCCCCCTATCCCACTTCACCTAAGCTCACAAATTTTCGAACAATGTGACATGTTTGGAGTATTATAGCTTTTTGTGATGCATCAAGGATGTTATACTACATGTCTGGTTTTTCTTGAAATTTTTTGTATCGATGCCCTCCGTTGACATAACCAATGGACATATGGCTTTAGCTGGATAGCCAGGTCTTCACATTTTCAAATTTTCTCAGCTTCCGTAGATCTCCAAGTGTGTAACAAGAAGGCTGTGATTCTGTTGCCAGTTTTTGTTACATAGCTATATAGCCCGTATGACGGCTAAAACTTTTGAATTTAAAGTTTTCTCATACTGTACAGGGTGATCGGGATATTCCGTACTATATTCAAAAAGTGACCCAAATATGTAGCTATCGATTTTAAATTTGGCAAGGAAGTAAAAGTCCATACTCACATCTAAACAGCAGAATTTGAGCGTAATCAAGTGTCACCAACTATATTTTTAAAAATTTTGAAAAATTTTCTTCGAATATTTTGGTTTCCAGAAAAACATGATTTTCTCAAAAACTATTCAACCGATCAGAAAAATTTTAGAATTAGGAAATGCGGGAGATCGAGGGCTATGACTTTTATTTCAGACATTTTTTCGATTGTATAGAGGGTTTTTCAATTATGGACAAAAATCTAAAAGACCATGAAAATCGTTCTTTTCGTTATTAAATTATTAGCCGTAAATGAAAATTCGTGAAACATATGGCCAATTGGTTTGAACAGTGTAATAAGCCACATCGATAGCTACAATTTTTGTGTTTACGGTTTTCGTCTGTCGTATATGCTGTTCGAGATATTTGAAAAAATCCATATGAAAATCACTATTCTACTTACCTACCACTTACTCTATTGGAAAAAATCATACAACGGGAAACGTAGGAGATTCACAGCTATCACACTTATTCCGAACATTGTTTGAATTATATACAGGGTGTGTCGATTATTGGCAGAAAATATAAAAGTTTATTAAAATTTCCGTTTTTGTGGGTAATTTATTGGCGATAAATGAAAAACTGCTAAAGATGGGATAATTTCATTTGAACAGTATCGTAAACTGTGTCGAGAGTTAAATTACATCGATTTTGCGAACGTTCCATAGTGGTCCGCAGGAGCACGATAGAAAAACAATGCGTCCCTCTAGGACAAGAAAAATCGAAGCACCTTCTTTAAAAAAAAAAAGCTTATTGCGATGATGATGATTTTTCGAAAGCAATCTTGTTTTGCATTGCTAACATAACGCCCTCAGTTTCAAGATAAAGATAACCCTTATAAAGCTATTATAGTAATGTTTTGCCGATGAATGCTTCGTCTAGTGTTAGTGCTTTTTCCTTCCAAGTTTCTATTTCCTGATGTAGTATTGTATCGGTTACTACTGGCACACCTAAGTTGAGTGCTGTGAAGTTTTTATCAGCATTTCTTATAGACTGGATGATACCTGACCTGGTTTCTGCAAATTTTGCTTATATTTAGAAGCCCTGCCACCTTCTTTTTTATGGATATAAAGCCGTGATGTTGATGAGTTGGGGTGTAAATATCCGAATTTTGCTTAACATTATTATTATTATTTAATAGATACCTCAGTCATCGCTAGATGTGGCTCCTTCCCCGTTTCGGCATTGGCTGCAAGAAGACAGGTGGGTAAGTTTTAGGTTATTTTGAACATGTTTAGATGTTTAGTTGTGGGGGTCGTTAAGTACGCGTCTGACAATTCCGCTGGTTTCAATGAGAGTTATTTTTTGTAGTTGGTGGTATATCTGTTCTCTGAACTAATTTTAGAGACCTGGTTTCTGGAAATTTTGCTTATATTTAGAAGCCCCCTGCCAGTTTATTCTCTAGGGATATAAAGTCGAGATGTTATGATTATTATTATTATTTTAGTCACTGACTTATAAACTTGTGATGAAAATGTCGTCCAATATTGTTAAATCTTGGTTTCCATTTCTCGTTTCCATTAAGGAGACGTTATTTCAAACGGCTGTCTTTCAAACGCTGAAACAGGCATTAATACGTTATCTAAAATTTATGTATGAGGTTTCCTGGTCGGCACAAACCGGGCGATATCGAAATTGAAATGTGTTGACACTGATTCCTGTTTACTTCAGCAGCTACTTTACCAACGAAACTATTAGTATAATTTCCTAGTTAATATGTAAAACGGCCATGCATCACTGGGGGTTGCAATAATGTACAACGTTCGTCGGTTCGAAATTAAATGCACGATTAAATGCTAGATTTTGGCATAATTAAGTTAGCTTATTAACCGAGTAGGTCGACGGTCGTGGCTAGCCACGCACATAAATTATTACAAACCGCGTCGGTAATCACGAAATTACAGCCCTAATATTGACTGTTAAATTTATGACGAAATATATCTTCGGTAAGAAGAGTCCCAGAATGACTTCGCTTAAAATATTGTTTTATAGGTACTTAAAACTGACCGTTCATATTAGCAAATTTTACTCTATACCATTGTTGGAAATTACGTTTCACTTTGACATTTTGCATTAAAATAATTTTTGATTTATATAACGCAAATTTGGGCAAAACTTTCCATTCAAACAAGGAAAAAATGTATGCCGAACGCATCGTTCGGAACTATGCCAATAGGAACTCTCGGAATGTAATAACACTGTTATATTTTATAGTGACACACAATATATTATTTGTAACAATTTCATTTAAAAAAAACCTCACCAGTGGTTCCCTTTTTTTCTCTTCATTTAAAATATATATCTTGATACCACTATTTTCAGCTAGCGGAAATTAAGCAATTTAATTAATCAATATGTATCTCTATTAATGCCATAATTTGCATGCATGTTTCCCAAACGTTCATTGTCGATGATTTAGATATTGAATATTTTGTGTTTTTTTTTAAATTTTTATTAAATCTAGGGCAGGGTGCATGGAATATGGGCCACAAAAAATACCTAATATGATTTATGAAATGCAA